TATACAGTCAGCATGCTTTACTAGACGTTTTTCTTTCTTTGTAACTTTCTATATTCAAAAGAGGACTTGAGATCGCTTGGTAATAAAAGATACATATGCAGAAATGGTTGAAATGCAGGGAAGACAACCCAAAACCAAGTACTGAAAGAAAGGAAATGTCTATGCCAGTAACTTAAGCTAAAGATACAGTCTATGGTTGTACAAAAATTGGCCCTTACGAAATGGCCTGGAGTTCTGCTGAACACAGACAGGGAGGAGTTTCCCATTACCTAACAGGAAGCAGCCCAGGGCATCAGGTGAAATTTCCACTGTGAGTTTATTGAGTGAGATGATGCTATGACTTAATATAAGTACCTGGTGGTCTAGCTTAGAATTGGTTCCATGGAGGAGGTTAGAGCGAGATCTGGATAAGAAAGAAACACAAAACAAGAAAACAAAATAACAACATAAGAGCAGCAGAGATGCTAAGTATTGATAATTCACACCTTTCCCAATTCAGGCTGTGTGATGACACCAACTTGTTACTCTAAATTCCCAAGTGACTCAAACAGAGTTTCCAGGTGGAAGGGATACTGAGCAAGGAGGAATCTTAGTTCTCTTCTCTTCCTTTTCTGTTTCAAAAGGATATTTCAAAGTCTTCTAGCAACTGGGATTACAATTTTAAGGCAAAGAATAAGCAGACACTAGGGAATTGTGTTGGGAGTATATTTTCCTATAATTTTTTTCTTGAAATAAGAGAAAAGAGCACACCCCTCCCCTCAAGAAGGCACATGAGTAATCTTAGATTCAGGGTCTAATAAAGTCACACTCAGATCTCCTAATTTCACTTTCATAAATTCTGGGGAAATTCCTGATGCCAACGGCTGTTGTAAAATAGCATCAGTACTGGGTTCTGGGGATTTACAAATATAAAAAAGCAATAGTACTTTTTCTCAAGGAGCTTATGGTCTCTCACAGAAGATAGTAAAATGGCACAAATAATTCATTGAGGATATACCTGTCAGAGCACTGCCAGCTCACCTAGTCCTCTGTCTCCTCCCTCAGGGTGAATCCTGGCAGCCACAGTGGGAACCTTGCTTTTCTGGCGATAGCCTATCAGATTAAAGGCCCACCCTGCCTTTCTGGTGGTAGCCTATCAGATTAAAGGCCCAGGGATTGAAGCAATTGGATTTCCTCTCTAAGAGATTTTAGAATTAGAATCGTAAGTTGTTACTGAGTCTCCACTGTCCAGTGATTTAAGGGCATATAAGCAATGGCTGAGATCCAGCCACATACACCTAAGGTGGCGGGTTTGAATCCCCAGCCCGGGCCCGCCAAACAACAATGACGGCTGCAACCAAAAAATGGCCAGGCGTTGT